TCAAGTCTAATTGCTTGGTAAAACCTTTAACACCTAGACAACATTAAGTGTAGACTTGTTTAATTCTTTCTCCTAATCAACCATTTCAGTTGAAGCACTTGGATCTACTGAACAAGAGTTAAATTTATACAACACATAAAACATGGTATTTTGCAGAACATACATAAAATATGACATCAGATAATTTTCTTTAAAAATTTTTCTCCAGTAAACCCAAAGCACTAGGATCTGGCAGAGAGGGCTGGCTCAAGTTGTCTCGGTCCAGTCCATTATGAACTTAAAGGAGCAATCCTATGCAAGTGTAGACAGAAAAAAAAGGCATGCCAAACCAACTGGGTGACTTATAAGCATCCAATGTGGACTGGGAAGAATGATGAAATGAAGAGTGGGAAGTGCTGCCTGCCTGCACATCCCACTCTTCATTTCAGCTAGTTGCCTGTTTTCGGCCATCTAATTGAGGCATCTTGGAGGGAGGTGCAGCCACCAGGATTGCCAGTAGTCTCAGGCAAGAGAATGGTACAGAATCTGGGTAAACATGCTGGGTACTATCTGTATATGCACACATTGCCAACAGCAGAACCACATAATGAGGTGATGCATTTAAAACTGAAAAAAATAACAGTGAAAGTCAAAGTTAATAACCAATGAGTCTCTTTGTATAACTATAAGCCTAATCTGACAAGGAAAACCCAAGATTTCATTGAGCACAATGCAAAAACATCAAAAGCTGCCACACCAGTTAAAAGTAAGTAACCAAAAAGTTTCATTCGCTTCATTCAAACAACTTCTTACAAAGTGTATACAATAGAAAGTATAGAAAATTAACATGCTGTTCCATCTTATTCTCCTATACATAAATGTTTCAGTTATAATCCCAAAACTATAAGAGTGTGACTGCAGCACATTTGAAGAACACATTCACACACCTCTGACCTGCCCAAACAGATTGAACTCTGCAAGACAGCATGCAATCCATAGGACCTTCCCACTGAGTTTTTTTGTTTGTTTAGTTTTATATAGGAGGAAATATCTGGTTTGCCACTGAAATTTGTAGGCAAACCACTCCGCAGAGCCACAGGGCACTACAAGGATTAAATTCAACTTGTTTGCTAAGAAGTCAAACAGCGAAATTTACAAACCAAAGTGGTTCTTGTAGCACACCGCAGAACTATATTGATATATTGCATTTTTAGTTTATTGTTTATTTAGTTTACTGTTTGTTGTAATCTGTTTAGAGAGCCCTTGGGCTAATACAGTAGATTATAAATTCAAAAATTAAAATAAAAAATTTGGGGGATGCCATATGCCACCCACCCCATATTAGAACATCGATGTGATGTTGAACACAATAGGTAGAAATGATCAGCAATCAAGCACTGTTTCCTTGGGTATTTGTAGGAGTCTGGTGATTGCATTAATATATTTATTTGCCAGAATATCCCACTCAAACAAGAATACTATAACACTTCCATTCAACAAGAAATTAACTTATAGTTAAAAGTAACCCTGTCACTTTGAAGTCTGCTACAGACTAGTTTTGTATATTAAGCAGGATATAAAAGTTCTGTTCTACTAATACAATGTAATATAATCTGGTAATATAATTTCTAGTCTATATTCTGTAATCTAATCTTTAAAATGATTTACAGTAGAATGTATGATATATAGGCTATCAAATTAAATTGATTACTTCCATCCTATACAGTCAGTATAGATTGTGAGACTGTATTTTTTTCAAATTTTTACGAAATTAATACTTCCAGAAAGAAATTTTTAAAACATTTTTCTAATGAAAACATTAGATGTCCTAACATTTAATTCTTGAAGAAGAAACAAACAAAATTCCAAGATTCTTGAGGAGAAGCTCAATGACAAAAAGAAAATGTTGAAGGTAGCAGTAAATGATGATGTGGGGTGGCAAATTTTCAAAAGCAGAAAAATCTCCAGTTTTATTTTTTTTTCATGGAAAATGTTCCATACCCATATACATATGTTTATTCATAGTTGTCTAAGCTGTAGTACTGCAATCAATCATATTGCGAAAGCTAAAAAATAGGACATGACATTCTACCATTTATTTTTCTAAGGTAAACACTGAAAGCCCTAGTGTTCAGTGGCCCATGGGTGAACTGGAAAAATAAGGTATGACAACCCCTTCCTGTGCACAAGGCAGCTGGCTCCTGGCTGGGCCTACAGCAGACTTCTACATGGCATATTTGTCCTCTGTTGCTAACATTTAGCAAAAGTAAACTGAAGGAAAATTGAAACTGATTACTGTTTGTTTCAGTTGAGAATAAATGAACATCAGAAGAGTTGTGTTGGTTGTTCTTGTCCAGCATTCACAGGGTGGCCAACTAGTCGCCCACATGATCCCACAATCAGGACAAGTGCAATAGCACGTTCCCACCCAAGTCTCTCAGCCTGTACCCACACATCCAGACTTAAGTGAAACAAAACATTTCGCTAGTTCTTCCAAACTGAACAACGTGAAAAGGAAATTAGAAGCAAGGCAGAGGTTGAATGAAGCTGAAGATGCTATAGTTACCCCAGCAAAAGAAAATTAAACTGGTGATATACTATCTCCCTTTAGTTATATATCCTAAAAACAGTTTGCTTAAATGGTGTTCTTTGTTTAGAGTTAACAAAAATACATAGGTATATGCTATTGCCTTTACATTTTTGCAAGTATTTAAATAAATTTCTATATACATTTTAATGTGATTTAATTTTCCCCTCAGCTTCTGAGAGGTGCACCTGACACCAACTCTCTATGCTTTTCAGTGGCAGGTTAAAACTGTTTTTTTCCCCAAGTTTTTTAAATTCTGCTTTTTATACTGTACTCTATTTATACTGTTGTTGAGTTGTTGTGGCTAGTTCATTGTTCATTTATTCAAGTAAGTATGTGTTTGTGTTTAACTGGATATGGAACAGGACTGGTATGCTCTGACCCATACCATATTTATATATATTATGCTGTATTGCTTATTATGTTGGGTTCTTTTTTATTGTAAAACTGTTCAGAGAGCCATTTGGCTAATGTGGGAGGTATATAATAGTTTAACTACATAAATAACCAAATACTCCAGTTCAAATTTGTGTAGCTTTTGGGAGAACTTTTGATGTATTTATACTGTACATAAAATTGACACAAATTACATTTTCAGTTCTGTTTACTAAACATGAGTTATTTTCTGTGCTTATTGACTGAGAAAGTATATAGATGAAAACAATGTGTCAAACATACTAAATCAGGTAACACTATATAAAGAATGGAAAAATTTCCAGAGTTTTTTTTCCAGAAATCCTACAGCATTGGCTACAAAGCAGCTTTAGCCAACTGGGTGCCCTCCAGTTACAGACAGAAACTGGAGGGTATCATATTGGCTGGGAAAAGTTGCTGTAAAAGGGGAAACTAAAGGGAGTATTTTTGTTATTTTTACAGACTTATGTTGGAAGAAATTGGCATCCATTCACTAGGACACAGACAAGAATGAGGACGAGAAAAAAATCAGGTATGCAACACTGGAGCTGCAAATCACTGACATTAAGGGGGTCTGAAGACCAAATGAATGGATAATAGAAATAAAACCAAGACTGAGAAATGTAAAAAGACAGGGGCCAGCTCTACCATTAGGCAGAGTGATGCATTTGCCTGTAGAAGCAGATGCTAGGAGTTGGTTGGAGAACAGAGCTGTGTGCAGCCTACTCTGCATCCTCTAAGCTAGCTTACTGCATAAGAAGATGCTGTGGCATTGCCACTACGAAAGAAAATTCAACTGCTGGTCTAGTCAGGCTTTGCACATGGAATGGGAAGGGGTCCTTCACCTCAGGCAGTAACATGTCTTGGGCCAGCCCCATAAAAAAGTTGAATCAGTACTGATTCCTGAAAGGGTATGCACACATTACATTCAAATGCATGTAAGTGGCCTCCCACATCATCTTTAATTGTAAAACTGATTTGAGAGGGGGAGTTTACAGAGAGAAACAGCAAGGGCGAGTTCCTCACTCCTTTGCTGCACCCTCTGCTTCTCTAGATCACTTTCAGCCCACATACTGGACAAGGCAATATGGAGTGCATGTATGGTGCTCAGCTGAAAAGATCGGAGAAGTCCTCTCCTCCTCCATTTGGAAATGTCCCTTCTCAAATGAGCTTTTCATTAGAAAAATACAGCATCAGAGCACAGGTGCACATGTTTGTTTCTAATTTGCAGACAGTGAAAATGAACATTCAATAGAAGACAGACTGAGAAAAACCATGATAGAATAGAAGCCCAGAAGGCATTAGAAGAAAGGTGGAATAGGTTAAGCCTTCTCTGTACAGCTATGACTGTGGAATACTGAAACCGAATTCAGTGCAGCTAGCTGTGCACAAATAAGGTTATGACATCAGGCTTGTACACAATAGCCTTGTATTTCTTTCAGAAGGTATTAGGTTTTACTATCTTCCTGTTTTCAAAAGGTATTTGAATATACTTGTATTTAAGCTAGAATCCTTGTAAATTAATGCAAGTTGGGAAATACAGTTAATAAATGCCTTTTTCATTAATTTCTATTTTCCCCCCTTTGGAAAGTTATGCATACTCACAGACACAAAATCCTTATTTTAAAATTCCTGACAGACACTTGATATTAAAAAAAAAAACACAGTTTCATTCATCCTTTTAGTTAATGCAGCACACTGAAAACAAACATTTAAAAATACCTAGAGAATATCTTCATGTCAATGCTCAATATATAATTATCTCTGATGTTGAAACCTACTGAAGTATCACTGTTAAAAAGAGTGAAAATATAAAGTATTTTTAGCAAGTTAAAATTTAAATGTACTGGTTGAGTGCAAATACATGGCAGGACTAAAATCTGGCATGTTAACAGGAAAAATTGACAAATATCCAAGAGATAAATGTTGTAACAATAAATATTCAGTTTTGATCACTGTCAAACAAAACAAAAATTATTTTTGTCTTCAGCTAGCAAGCAACTAAAAAAAGCACACTTACCTTGACACATTTTCTGGAATGTATTCTAGAACTGGATACCCATCATTTCTTCTGGCAGACAATTCAGAATGTGATTTCCATGAATCCACTAGAGTACTTACTGGAGGAAATGAGCTCATATGCTGAAAAGATTGCTCTCTACCAACAGGTCGAGATAAAGATATTCTGCCTTGAGCTCCAATTCTATAATGAAATGACTGTCCACCTGAATTCACACCAACAATGGCAGAAGATGGCAGATTATTCTCTTGATAATAGCTACTCTCTTCAGGCTCCTGTTTAATTCCTACAGACAGGCCTGGATTTGGAAATCCACTACTTTCACATGTGGCATCAAATGATGAAACAGGTGGTCCTAAAATCCCAGAAAGAGAATAGTAGTCTTTATCATCCATGAAAGAAAAATATGACCCATCCATAAATGGAAATGGATTTACAGTCTGATTCCCTTTAAAAGAAGCACCGGAACAAGAACGTTTAGCTGATTCTTGCTTTATTGATACTGAAAATGGGGAATCAGAATTGATTTTGCTGTTTTCTTCAAGACATGAGCTACTGAATACCCCTTCTGGTTCAGGTTTTATAAACTGAACAAGATTCATTTGATTAGCTACTTCATTGTTAGAGATGGCATTTTCCATTTCCTCTATTTTAGGAAACATAATTTCTGAAGCACCTTTATTGACTTTTGTATCTGGACTAGGATCGACATCTTGGCCTGTACCAGGTCCAACAGGTGTGCTAGATGCAGGAAAGGCTAGTGCACCATTTACTGGACTACACATAGAGGACCCCACAGTACTAACAGCTGGACTAGAAAGAGTAGACCTATTATTGGCATTGGAAGGGCTGGCAATAGAGCACCTTGAGTTCATATTTGCAGGACTAGATACTGAGGATCTCATGATAATATTATTAGGACTTGAAACTGGAGATTTCACACTACAGTGACTAGGAGGGCTCGAAATTGGTGATTTCATGCTACTTATGGGACTAGAAAGAGGGGACCCCACATTGCTTGCTTGTGGAGGACTGTGTAACATTGAGTTTCGGTTTTCAATGTTGGGTGAACATGACAAAGGTGTTCCCTGGTAGTTAGTAGGTGTGGTTGATGATACAAAATTAATTCCAGGCGGGCTGCACACTGAAGAAGTCAGGTTTTGAGGGCTACAGTCAGGAGGACTTTTCTCTTGACATATTCTAGGGCTTTTGACAATTGCTGGCATGATGCCTCCATTCACAGAGTTAGCACAGTCTGATATTAGAGGTCTCAGGGGCCTACTTGGGGCATTCAAGGGAGAAGTGCAGTGGCCATTCTCCTTGTATAGCTTGACCAACTGTTCAACATTTTGATACATCTTCCCAGGATTTATGCTTCCTTGTTGATTTTGCTGATCATAGGAAAAATCAGCTTCTCTTACGGAATCCATGTACAAACCCATTGATTCAGCTACCGTTGCCGAAAGTTCCTTTGAGTCTGACTCAGTTTTTATATCAGAGGTTGAAATACTAGGCTGATTATGGTCTTGCTGAAGGCAAGAAAGTAGTTCAGGTTTTCCTTTGTTGCTTCCTTGAGCACTGCTATTTGGAAAAGCACCAGAAACACAGCTCACATTTACAATCTCCATATAATTATTACTCGATTCAGCTGGCTCGTCTGCTCCTGCAGAAGTATACTCCATAGACTGAGAACCTTGATTCCAGCGTCTCTCCATATCTAGGCTTTCTGGATAACTGTGATAGCCTTTGGTCTCCATAACTAGCAAAAGAAAACAGTAAATTAATATGTAAGTATATACACTTATATAAATGGTGCCATGTATCAAAGAGCGACAGTTACAATGCTAATCACAAATCAGCAAACACCACCCCAAAACAGTGAAACCTATTTCCAAGTACATATGCATGTGATTGCACTACACAAAAGTATCGCTTATCTTTAAAAAAGAAAGCAAATATTCTGTCCACCTATGAGAAATCTGTTTGTAGCTTTCCAAGTTAAAAATAACTGAGACAACCATTCATTTGCATTGCTATTGACATAAGATAAAATGACCTCAAAATAAATTTAATCCTACATTTGCATGCTCCAAGCTTGTTTTAATGAAATATTTGACTTTATTGTTTTTACAATGAGTAATACATTACATTTTTAGTAACTCCAGCATACCCAATAGACCAATAGGAAATACAGTTTCTCTTCTCTCCCTTTTGCCAAATTTAACTGTGTTAACAGATATGGCTTTCTTCCTAGAAGCTAACATTCTCCAACAAAAGTGACATCCTTTAACAACTAAGATTCCCTAGATTTACACAGGTTTCTGCTTCTAAATCAGATATGACTCCTTTTAGCCAACAGTTGTTTATCAACATTCACTAGTTAACAAACAGGGGCCGTGGTCCTGGTTCTTCGTCAAGCCAGGAAACTCACCACAAAAATGTATATACTGGAAAAAAAATGTGGTATTTGCAGTCTGTCTTTTTCTATATTGTCATGAACCACCCAGAAAACATTGCCTACTGGGTGATACAGAGATGAAATTAATCATCATAACGAAGACTGCAGAAATTTATTCCACCCTTGTAAGTGGGGTGCTCCCCAAGTGACATGGTTCAGCAACACCACCTAGGGGGAAATGGAACCGTAATTTCATGAAAGTTATCTGTATTATAAAATATCTGTATTATAGTACACAACTAAAACTTGTGTCATTTTGGTTGAATTAATGTTGACTGTTTCATAAGGACATAAAAACTGCCTTATACTGAATCAGATCAATATGCTGTGTAGTCTATGGAAATTTAGCCAGACATTTCCCCCACTATTGGCTTGAGATCCCAGGAACTAAAGTTGCTATCTCAAAACATATGCTATTTCATCTAGTGGCAACTTCTTCACATTTGTTTAAATAAACATGTACCTTTTCTGATGGAGTGGCTTTTATGTTGATTAGGTAAGCACAAATTCTTTTGGGTTGGAACAATTATGTGTTTTGCACTTACTTTTGCACATATATTTCTATGCAAGTTTGGGATCCATGGTTTATATGCATTTTATTAGTGTTAAATTGTGTTAGTGAAATATATGGCCCTCAATACTGACTACGGCATAGAGTTTCTAAGATGACAATTTCCACAATGTTGGTTGATTTAATTTCATGCACATAATCCACAGTGGAATCAAATGATCAAGAAATAGACATATTTATCATGCATACATGTTACAGAAGTGTAGCAAGGATAACAAAGGGCTTCCCTATGGCCTTATCATACTTTCTTTCAAAACTGTTTCATTAAATGTTCTTTCAAAATTGTTAATTTGCCTCAATACATTTTGAGTTAATTTGCCTCAATACACCTTCCACCTCATGCAACCTTGATGCACTTGGTTCTATATACATCACCTTTTGAAATCAGAAGACAATAGCTCTCTTGGAGGCCAAGGTAAGGCATGTGGGCCTCAGTAGGTACCACTTTACTGCCACACCACATACTCACTTTAATTAGTTTGACAGACATGTGCATAATGAAATCAGAATTAAATCCAGCTTTTGCAGTCTAAGAACTTTGCTAACTTTAAAATCTCATTCTTATTCTTTCTAGCCCTGTTGATTTCATTTTCTTTAGCTGAAAGACCTATAAGCTGGACCTATGTATGAGAATATATTATTCATCCCAATAGAATACGTGGGTACTCTGACTTAAGCTTAGCAGAGTTTAGTGGGACATATTTGCATACATTTACTCAGAATTGCCACTGTAAGCAATAGAGCTTACTTTCTAGCACGTGTGTTTACAATTATCGTTTTAGCCTTTGCAACTTGTTCTCTGCATCCCTATGATCAATTATTTTCAGTCTGAAATCCCAATCCTATTTCCACTATAAATTCTGTTATTTCAATAGAACTTACTTTACTGTTTCGGACTGCAGTATAAGAATGATTGTACCACATACCAGCTGACTGATAATATTTCAAAAAAATGCATGCAGAAGTAAGAATTGTAAATTATAATTATGTAATTTATTATAAATTATAAAATAAGAATAGAATGGCCTGTATTATTTCAGGCCTAATAAACAAGAATAATACTCAAAATGTTAATAACTGAGGAAAATTTAAATCAGTGCTCAGTTAGCCAGGAGTATGCATCAGGTGAATTGCTTGCTTCTGCATTCCTTGTTTGGATAAATTGCTCATTTTATATTCTGTGAGCATGTTTGCATTTGTCATTATGTTAAATATTATACCTCCTTATTTAACAATAATTTTATCATCTATTTACTTGGCCCATACTTTTTATCAACCTACTATTTCACAGTTTTTTCCCTCAGTAACTGTCATGTGCTCATACTGATACAATATAAACTTTTTGCAAAGAACACCTTTCATTTTACAAAAGTAGGCATAAAATAATATCATGGTTACCCAAATCAGGCAAGCATAGCATCCAACTTTCTACAAATAAATGAGTGAAATTGTCATGCTTTTCCAAATGCACAAAACAGTCTTACAAAACAAAACACCAAAGCATGCATGAGATCATATCCATAAATTATTGATAACAAATTGATTGACTCACATTAAGCCACTTGTTCCAAACCATGGCATGTATTTACTCAATTTGCATCACATCATTCAACTTCCCCCTGGAGTTAAACATACATTATATATTGAATATTAAAGAGCTAACCTAGTCATAAAACAGTTAAATATAACTTACACTTTTATATATAAAAATTAGGATAACCGTTTTTATAAGCAGAACAAGCGGTTTCTCAATAATGAACTAGGGTTAGGGGTATTATGCTCTTTTCTGCAAACATCTCCATGAACTTAAGAATCTGTTTGTGACTGTGGTCAATGAAGCTCACCAGCAGATTGACAGAGGCTTTTTATTATTCTACTGATCTCTCTGTGCAGTTGCTACTATGGATTGTGATAAGAGATTTTCTGGCTGTAAACAGGCAAAGGCATTAAAGAGCTCCTGTACTTTCATCCAACTCAGACAAGATTAAAATATTAGTAAGCCTCATGACTTTGGAGGATAGGCACTCTGGATGCCTGAAATTTCAGATACCTGGAACAGCCTGAAGACTTTTTACCAAATTCTCCCACTGACATGACAACTGTATTTCATGCCCAATTAATTTCAAAGCAAAAGGTCATATACTGTATGGTATGTATTTGAAGCTTCCAGTGCAATAGAATAAAGAAGCCCACTGCTTGTGGTGGTACCAGCAAGCAATACATCACAGCATTTCCTGACAAAAGTACAAAGCAGCTGACAAATTATCTGATTTTATCCTTGCCCCAAAAGTGGCATTGAAAATGACCCAAGTCCATTCAGTGATCCATTAATTATCATTACTGGTAACCATATCTAAACTATTTTCCCCTATACTACAGAGCTTCTATCTGGAATTTACACTAACTCCCTATTGCTTTCTACAATTTGAGGTCCTGAGAGCAGTCATTCAACAACCCAAGTCCCAGCACACCTGAGTGATCACTTCGCTTCCTATATCATGCCTTGTCTTTTAAGAATGGCAGTAGAGGTGCCCTCCACACCTACCAGCTGTGTGCCAATTTGGGCAATTTAGACATAAAACTGTCATTTGGCTTTTGGTGACCATGAACAGGTGGTGATTTAGACACCTATCAGATTTCATATTTACACCTTTCTACATTTAATGGGCAAAAATAAAACAGTTTCTCCACATCAACCACCACAAACATAAATCAACAAGGTACACACACATGCATCAATCACTGCTTGTTTTTTAAAAGCAATAACTCATGAATCAGTATTTAATATCACCTGGATCAAAACTGCCTATTTAGTCATCTGTACTGGCAATAGAACTTACACAGTTATCTTCATATACAATAACAGAGTAACTATGCAAATTAAATTTCTAAAATAGGGTTGAAAATACTTTTCATACTTTTAAGTATGATGTGCCTGGCTATGAATTCACTTGAGATGAATTCTGCACCCAAACATGTTAAAAAACTTATTTTGGCCAGTAAGTTCAGCAAAACTGAACTTGATAAGGACTGGAATTAAAATTGTTCAGGTATCTGCTTTGAAATGTTGAAATTTACTTTGTTATAAAAGCAAGAAAACTCCAAGACCCTGCGACCCCTCAAAACATACAGTTTGAACTCTTCCTGTGCAGCATACTAGATTTTATGTCTCAAGGTGAGCTGCAGCAGCCCTATCTTGCAGCCTCCAAACACAGCCCTAACCCTAAACCCAGCATGAAGCATTGCCCAATTCAGCTTCCCACCAAAGCATGCAACCCCATCCAAACAACAACCACTTCCTTCAATCTCAGTGTGTCAATTCACTACCCCAATTCCAGGTGTATTACCACCCCACCCCAAAACATCAGCTCTTTTGCTGTCTTCCCAAATCTGCTTTGGCTGAAATTAGGCTTCGCTGTTCCCCTGAACATTTGGGGCGGGGGGATGTTTTGCCAAGAATAAATGATTTAAAATCACACGGGCTGGCACAGAACACCTGTGGCTTATACAGCCCAATCCACACAACAACTGAAAACATGTCCTCACCTGCAAGTAATCCACTATCCTGAGGCACCTAAAAAGTTAAACCCTTCCTCTAGCTACCCCAGGGCCCCTAAGTCCATGCACTCATGAAAAAAAGAATTAAAAAGAAAACCTGCAGTGCAATCCCCCCTTTTCTGTTACTTCAACAGTCGTGATTTTTTTTTCCTCTTAGCACACCTGTCTGTTCCTCCACGCGTCTCCTCCAAGTGTCATCCACATAAAGCCAACATCCACAATCGTAAATAACAGGGTAACCGGGAGAAGGAAAAGCGAGGAGGAAGAATTTATTCTTCAGAAAGTGCAGATTCGTTATGTCGCTGAATGACACAGTGCTGGATAGAGAAAAAGGGCGGGGGGGCTGGAAGCGCGTTCGGAGGTGCCAAGTCCTTTTAAAACATGTCACATGCTCAGATAAAGTTCAGGATTAAGTTCCTCCTCTCACCCTTCCCCATTGGCCAACGAAAAGAGCTAAGCCACGGTATCAGGCTCCATCGCGCTTTCCATTGGACAGAAGCTTTTGTCAGTCACCCGGCGGGCGACATGACTGATACAAAGTTGCTGCGACACAAGCTAGAAAATGCATCTCTCCTTAAAGCTGTAAAACCCACCTAGCAGGGAGTCCAGCGACGTTTGCGCTGGAGGGGGGCAGGCTGTAGTTCCATCTTCCCCTCCTCCTGCTCTGACCCTGCAGCTAGAACGGCCAGGCAAAGTGAGATTTAGGAGCTAATCGGATAACGTTTAAAACGTTCCACCAAAAAACATATGGCCAACGATTCCTCCGAGACAGAAACGGCTTTTGCGCAAAGCTTGCTCCCGAAATCTGTTCAAACCGGGACGAGAGTTAGATCTAGATCCCACGCCCTCAAGCTGCGAGTCCCTTCCAAGTTGCCACCCTCTAAGCTACCCCGCCTCCCTTTTTCTAATGGAGGCAAGATCAAGATTGGGGGCTGGCTTCTTGAATCTCCTTTTCCCGCCCCTCGCAGCCTCTCCGAGGCATTAACTCCACCTGTACCAAGGTGCGCACTATGGGGCCGCTTCCGTTCTGCGCCCTACTAACCGCTGCCTCTTTCCCCCCCACCAGCCCCTGATCAACCGTAAAAGCGAGGAGGAGGATCACCTCCCCATTTATCATCTTCACGTTTAAACAGCCTAGGAGAACAGGAATATTGTCGATGCAATAAACCTCTCCTTTTTTCTTTCAAAACAAATAACAAACAAACAAACTAATCTATTAAGAGGCTCAAGGACTTGCCCTCTGGTTCCCTGATTGCATTTTATGGCGTCTGGTATATTCTTTGCCAAGTGCTGCTAGGGATCTTTAAATACACACACCATCACACAAAGTTGCACGGACATTGATAAGGGGGAGCCATAAAACAGACTCCCAAACTCCAGACCTCTAGCAGGGCTAAGAAGGATTTTACCACATGCTCCATCTTTGGGGCCAGAGTTGCTAAATATACATTTAAGAAGACAATCATATTCCCACCTTACCACTCCATTTTTTGCAGAAGGCTGGCCATAATGACGCGTATTTTCGGTGGTCAATGAAAGCCACCACTCTACTGTCTCCCCATATTTTGACACTTAGCAGCAGCGGGGTAAATACTCTCTTTTCTCCCCCCGCTTCCTCTCGCCAGCAGACGTCTCCTTCCCCCCTCCCCTCCGTTCGCGCACACACCCTTCTCAATCCCGTTTCTCTCCATTTCATATCCAGACAAAAATAACTCCCGGAGAAATAAACTTTAATGAAATTCCAGGCACCTCAGGCCGGAGCGGCTGCAAGCGTCCATCGACCGTTCCAAAAGGCGACTTTCAAAACACCGAACCTGCTTGTTTAAAAACTCGGCGGGGGGGGGGGGGAGGATGGTTCCTTACTTAAAAAGGGAGTAAGAACTCGAAAATATCGATAGTTATTTTAGCCGTCACATGTCCTTCATGTTTTTAACGCTCTGAAAGATATTGATCCGCTTTTCTAGAATCAATGTGAACCGAAGAACTCGTTCAGTTCCCATACCCAACAGCTGCCCGAAGGCCGAAGTGCTTGCGGTGCCTGCCTCCCCCCCCCCGCAAGTTTTAAATTGGATATGCACAAGACTAGCAATGACCTGGAAGTGCCTTCCTCCCCCGTGCACATTTCTCCCTAGAGAGGTACGGAGTTACTAGTGTCACCCATTAATGCCCCTTTTATTCATACCGCTCTCTAAACTAAATACGGCTGGACCTCCAGCCTTTCCACTCCCTGAAGCTCTCTTTACCTGCTCTCGCTACGACTCTGACCAAAGTGTATTTTTCCTGTACTCACCTTCATTTTTCCACCACCCCCGACGACGTGCAATGGCCGGAGGAGGCAAGTCCCTCCAGCCTCGATTCAAAGGGACTGACAATGGTCGTTGAGGAAAGAATGGCAACTCAAGAAGGTGGATCTGGAGGGGATTTGGGCTTAAATCCTGCAAGCGGAGAGCGATGAGACTGGGAAGGAGGTTGCAACTGTCTCACACGCAAGCCCCGGCAGCAGCGGCAAAGAGCAACAGCAGTTCCAGCCTCTTTCTCTGGGGGGCCGGGGCCGTGCAACTGGAAACGGAAAGTCCACTCCGATCAGCCTTCTTGGTGACAGCTCTCCGCAAAGAGCGCGGGCGAAAAGGTTTGCCCCTGGCTGTCACATCGCCGCTCGTTCCTGGAGGGCGTGGGGGGGAGAGCGCTGGACCCGGCAGATCGTATTCTTCTTCTAAGAAGAAAGCGGCGGCGGCGGCTTGAGGGGGGCGGAAGCGAAGCCCCAACTTATGTCATTCCAGGTAAAACTCCCATCTGCGCCAGCAGCGCCCGCCACGGGAAGAGGTGGGTGGGAGAGGCAGAGGAGCTTCAGAGGGTGTAAACTTTGTTTTTTCCTCCCCTGCTGTCTCTCGTGAGCTGCTTTCTCTGCGCGTATGTCCTTTCTCTTCACCTTCCTTCTTCTCCTACTGCTGCCTCACTACTCCTCCTCCTCCTCCTCGCTTGATTCCCAGCTCTCGCTCGCTCGCTCGCTCGCCCGCACGCGCGCGGGCGCGCGCGCGCACACACACACACACGCACACAGGCAGAGCGGGCTGGAGCTGGTTCCTGGTTTGTGGAGCTGTTGGAGGGAAGGGAAGGAGAGAGGAGGGAGGGACTGAGCCAGGAGAGGAGGAGCAGCGCCGCACAGCGCAGCGCAGCACAGCGCAGCGCCCTCCCTCCCCCTCGCTCTCCAGGCGTGTCTCGCAGCGGCGGACTCCGAGGAAGCAAAGAGCCCGCCTCTCCACCCCTTTCTTCCCGCCCCTCGCGGCGCAAAAGTGAAGTGAACGCTCGAGTGCCACAAGGATTGTCCCCGAATTGCTCCCCGGTCTCTTGGCTCGGCCGCTCCGTTTTCGCCTGCAGACGGGCGGCGAGGAGAGGAGAGGAGAGGAGGAAGGGGGGAGGCGGGCACTGCCGGCCAGGGCCAACGCCAACCAGCGGGCAAGGCCGAGCCGCGCGTATCACGAAGGAAAACGCCGCTGCTGCTTGCAGAGTCAACGGGGAGGGCGGTTTCCGTCCTCGCTTTTGCGGCGGCGGCACCTTCTCTACTGTACCAACAGTACGCGCGCGCCTTTCCTGCCATGATCGCCAGTGCTGCGCGCCTCTCTCGACCTCCCCTACCCTGATCCAGCGATGCACAACAGGTTTTTGTTTCTCTTTCTCGTTCTTCTCCTTGCCCGTGTCTCCGCAAGTGCAAGCCAAAGGAGACTGAAGCCGTTAAAGGTTATAGGGCAGCATTCAAACTGACAGCACTGAAGGCACAAGAAGGAAGACATTATGCTCTATGCTGTTTTTAGGGTTCAGGTGCCCATTGCTTGTGAGGTGGAACTGCAGCCAATAAGAAAGAAAATTTGCGGTGTTATCAGGGATCATATTTTTTTACAGAGATTGCATCTGAATCTATTATCACACTTTGGGCATGCCAACTGCAGCATGAAAGTCACTTTATAGTAGCAGTGTGGCACAAAAAAGCAAGTGAAAGCAATCCACCCAAAAAATGAAAATACAAGGTTTCTTAAAGCTACCATGGGTCCAAATCAAAGTGAAGCATGGGTCCATGTGATTCTATTCATGTCTAAACATCCTCAGTGCCTCCTTTCAAATTATAAATTGCATTATAATCTCAAATTCCACTCTTTGTGGTATGTCTGTGGTGCAGAAATGCAGATCTGTACTCTAATTTTGCATGGATGCACCTTATACCAGCTTTTCTGTATGCATAAGGGGTCAAACTGGATGTGACATGAGATGCACATCTAGCTCCGATGTTTTAGATTTGCTTCTTTGTAAGAACAAATAACTGCTGTGAGAGGAACTTGACTGGTTTTTAAAATCACTCTTGCTGAAAATTCTCACCACTACTGCCTGTATGTCCAGCTTGTGGTGGGGAGGGACTCTTAGTGAAAAAATGGAATGGGGAAATAACACTTAGACACACTCCATTATTTCATGGTCCCCATCAGATGAGGTTCAGCTATCTCCAGAGTCAAGAGACAACTCAGTACTATTTGTTGCGAACATGAGAGGGAGGATGGTGCTGGGGTTCCTGCCCAGAAGCAGCTGGTTGCCCACTGCAAACTGAATGCTGTATCACGTAGGCCTTTGGTCTTATTCAACATGCCTCTTCTTATGTTCCTTTTTTAAGTTGGTAGGAAAGCACATACATATGCAGGTGATCTACTTGTACAAAAACCTGTTCTCTAAAATGTTTTTTCAAGCTTTACTTAGAGATTCTGCTTTAACCCATCTCCTCCCTGCAAACCCTTAGAAGGGGTCAGGAAAGAGGGAGGTTGGCAAGCAAAATGCAAGAAAAGAACGGAAGGTTCAAAGCCTTTCACAAAGCTTGAGGTCATGATAGAGGTTTAGGCATAGCAGAGAAAAAGTATGTTCAGGAGAAGCAAGAGATAGCATTTCTTCACGCAGTGTAAAAGTAGCTCACCACAGTCCCTCCAGATCACCACTCTATCAAGGCTGCCGTTCTATACCCACTTTCCTGAGAATTGCACCCCTTAGCATTTGTTAGATCTTACCTCTGAGCTGACAAGTATAAGGTTGCAAGCGACTTTTAAAGAGAATTGGGCAAAGTCATGGAGGATAGCACAAATAACTGATGTTTGTCATGGTAAGTTAATGGACCTTACATATTCCAAGTTAGTATTCCTCAGTATCGGGAGATGAAAACAAACAGCAGAAGAAGGCCTTCATGTTTATGTTCTTCTTTTCTACTAACTTTCCAGACAAGCAGCATCTAGTTGGCTACTGGAGGAAACAAGACGTTGATCTACAAAATGAACCTTTGATCTAAACCTGTGGAGCACTTCCACTGTTCTTATTAAGTATCATATGTCTTTGCAAAAATGGATAACTATTTTCTATGCAGCTCCCCAAATACCTACTTTATTTGGTATAACCACATGGAAAGCAAAATACAGAACCTCCAGGTAATCATTTATTCCACTGTCTGGAATAGTGTGAATATTATTCAATGGTCATTCCATTTATTTCACGTGTGTCTGCTCTAAGTAAAACAAACACTAAATACTAAAGCCAGAATTACGTTTGTGTGCTTTGGAGAACAAGGAGCAACTGAATTCAGAAAGTATGGGATCCTTATGTTTGACAATATATGAAGTCTACTGTGTATTATTGGATTGCAGAAAACATACACAGATTCAGGAAAAGCTATCCCCAGGGTTCATTCTTTCTGACAGTGATGCAGGAACTCATTAGAAATGTGATTTTTCCAATGCAGTATTCAGGTATGAGTGCATTCAAGAATAAATTAACTTGCTTAGGGATACCAGTCAAGAAATGAGTTATGCATCTCTAAACAAATAAATGAATAGGGTCTTAACTGAACAGCAAGGACAGTACAGCATCTGGAATGCTTCCAGATGTTTAATGTGCAGTTGCCCGCCTGCCTCATTCATAGCATTGTCCTGAGGATGGAGGTTAACTTTGATGGTTACATCTTCCGCTTGTAACCCTCCATTCTTCTTCATGGTCTCTGTGCATCAGACATATGGGCTACGTGCCTGTGTGGAACCTGTTGTCAGGAAGACTTTATAGCTAAGCATCAGTCAGGTGGGAGCACCTCACCTTGCTGTTCCAGGTTTACATGGGAGGGGCTGCCAGCCATGCCTCTCTGGTTTTTTTGGCCTCAGCACTGTGACATCAGAGACAGCAGGAACATCCAGAGCACAAGGAAACAAACTGAACTTCAGCCTCACCTCAGACTTTACAGACACCTGAAAAGAGACAGGGCGGCAGGGCATGTAAAAGATAATCTACAGTTGTAAGAAATTCACTTGTTATTCATTGGCACTTTCAAGGGACTGACTGCCGATTATATTATTAATATATGGAATCAATATTATAATTGGAAGAAATAATATTCATTAGACTAGAATAGTTTTAATCATATCTGACTTCTTATGCATTGTCAATACTTTAAAAGCAATATCAATAGACAAATGTGTTGTAAGCATAGATATATATTTTACAGCAAGTATGAAATGTTAGAATGTTCACTTTTGAAATGCGATGCAACAATGCAGAAAACACCTGCTGAAAAAAATTGGTACAGGATGTTGATTGTAATGATGGACTGATATACATTGTGTACAACTTTGTCCATATTTATATGGAAAATCAGAATAGAAATTAAAGTGGTGGTGGTGAAGATGAAGGAGAAGAAAAAAGATCCACCACACTGGATTATAGACTAACACTATAAAATCAGAGTGGCTAGATCTCAGGGGTGTTTTTGACAGATCTGCATTATACTACCTCGAGAATGTGCCAGGAATGTTGTATTTTGTGTCACTGAAATACAGGGACTCACATTGCTTGCTAATCATGCTTAGGAGATAAGCCATGGATGTATGACATGATTGTGTTTACTTATTTAGGGTATTCCTGTGTCCCCTGAAATGCTTTATATAAACATTTCAACAAAAACCTAACTCAACTTAAACTGATTAAAATAGAAGAATGAAACCTAAAAGGCCTTGGAGAATAAGAGTTCTGTAAGTACACTATACTATTTCTGCCATTGGCTTCTCTGGAGGGTTTTGATTGCCTGTTGTATCTGAACATGCCTTGGGAAGAAGCCAGGAGAAACTAAAATGAGGGCTGCTCAATGCTAGCTCTTTGTCCTGGTTCCTCCCCAAGTGTGCTCAGGAACAGCAGCCCATCACAAACCCCTCTGGTGGGGAAGTGCAAATGGCGTAGCTATCAAGTTGTGGGTGCATGGACCACTGGAAGGGCATTACCCTTCAAAACACTTATGGCACTAGTGGTTGGTGGACCTGCAAAGAGCACCAGCAGATAGCAAAACACAGGCACGCTGGATATGGAAATAGGCGTTCCTTTGGTTAGTTCTCCCCTCCTGGCTGGCAGATGCCGGGAGCTGTATGATAAGCACAATCATGGCTGGTCTTCTATAGTCTCTGTTGGATGGCCCCATTGTATGTGCAAAACATGGATTACGCTTCCTCACAACACACATGCCCTGCTTGCACGGGAAATAGAGGGTGCATTCCCTGGTACAAGTTTAAAGATGCATAACTAAAGTGGCATTTTAAAAAAACTGCTCATTTTGTGATTATATGTTATGGCTGTGTATTAAGAAATGAATGCTCGGAGCATCATGCCACTATTTCCAAGTAGGTCAAGAGTAGTGGTAAGGGCATTTCAGATAAGAAATGCTCTTCCCTTCCATTAAATTTTATAAGAGAGGTTAACTTGTGTCAGCTACATGACATTGAAAGCAGCAGTCAGACAAATGTAAGCCACTCGGTGGCAGATGTCATCTTTGTTCCCAAAGATAGATAGAGATAAATGTGCTATGGATAATGCATTGCAAAACAAGATTACACTGAAGTTCAGCAAGTGTCACATTTCTCCTCCACCCCACAGCTTGAGTGAGCTTATATTGAGGGCAGCAGGAGTAATGGTGCCGTGCCAAATCAGTCTACTGTACAGTGTTATTTAATGGTCATGTGCTTCCTT